CATAATGATGGAAGGGAAAGATGCTGACCTCAGGACAGCCAGGAAGCAGAGACAAGGGTAAGATACTGCACCGAGAACATGGCCCTGGGAACTACTTCCTCTAACTAGGCTCCAACCTCCGTAAGTTTCTAATATCTTCCAAAATAGCGCCACGATCCAAGGACCAAGGCTATAACACTTAAGTCTGCGGGGGACATTATATAGTCAAATCATCACGTGCAGTCTCTCAGCAGGGGACCTATTTCAGGTCAGAGGGAGAGTAGGAGAATAGGATGTGCCATTGGTGGCCCTCCCAGCACTCCCTGTAGCCAACTGCCAGCCTGCTACCTTTCAGTGTCACTTCTGAGGACCACTATTCAATCATTTCTAGCTTCTTCCTAGAATGCAGGGCCACATGGCTCCAGGGTCATGGGTAGCTCTGCTTGTCTACACAGCATCTGCCAATGGGTGTACATCATAATATTTGGTATTTTCATTCCCTTCTCCCCTAGAAAGAAAGCTGATCAGAGAGGCAATGCCAATTTGCATCCTCTTTAGGCATAAATCAGCGAGGACCAAATAATTAATGTACATCTCTCATTGCTTAAAATAGAAATGCTCTTTCTTCTCCAGAGAAAATACTCGGCAGAAAAGTTCCATGGGTATGTAGCTCTTCCCCCAGACCTTATCCACTCATGGAGATCTGGAAGGAAGGCTAGGGGCGGAGCGGGGCGTTGAAGTAAAATGATTGAGTCAGTGGGGTTGGCCTAGTGATCTCAGACTCTGTGAAAAAAGAGACCTCTTTATCTTCATGATGCAACCCAAAAAGGAACCACATGTCCTGGCTGTCTGCAAGGCAAGAACAAGGAAGAAAACTGTCTACAAGGATCTCTAAATTCTGATAAGTCTTTTAGCTTATCACACACACACACACACACACACACACACACACATATTTTTGAGTCATGCTGACCTGGGGTAGCATTCTGACTCTGCTATGTTCCAGCTATGTGATTTCGGACAACTTCAACTCTCTGAGCACTATTTTTCTCATTGGTAAATTAAATGTGTTAAGAGCTTTAAATGGGTGCCACATGCATTTAATGAAGTTGGGAGTATTCAGTATTGATGTCAAGGTGGGGTATCATCAGTATGAACAATGGTTACCCTGCAAATAAATCCTGGGGTTTATAGTGTTTGCCAATTCCCCTGGTGTAAATACCCTGTCCTTGACCAGTATCAAGCTATCAGCATCTCACTGAATTCAGGGCTGGAAAGAGATTTGGGCTACACAATGCAGCATTTCCACCATCCAGACCCAGTCAAAATCAGATGTAACGTTCGGTATAACATTGGCGGAGGCTGCTGCCTTTTTATTCTGAGTATATGTTGCCTTTGTTTTTAAATTACTCAAGTGTAAGCTCACATAATTTAGCTTTTCGTGATGGTGTGTTTAACAGCTACCTCCTAGAACTTCCGAAATATTTATTGCTTTGCTCTCACAGTCAGGAAAAGCCAGCTCAGGCACATTGCGGGGCACACACTTAGGCAGTCAACAAACACAGCTTCCCTTCCCCCTCGCCTCCCTTTCTTCAGCCAGCTCTGGAAAGGTTTTCTGAAGGTTTTCCCTTACAGGCTCCATGTTTTGCCTTTTTTCAGGACCCCTCTGGGCCACAGTACCAGGTTAAGTCTGGAATAAATCCCAGCAAAGGTTCCAACCCTCCTCATACCACATAACTGGCTTTCCATATTTTTCCCAAGCTGGGGAGGCTAAGGACCCCCCAACCCCAGAGATGGAGACTGGGAAGTCAGCAATGGATACCGCAGGGCCCTCTGTGGTGAGAGTGGAGACTTAGTTTATTTTAGGATCTCTGTCTGGGAAGGGAGTGGGAAAACAGGGCCAGCAGGCTGTACTTTGGCAAGCCAGGCCCTATAATTAGCCTCCACTTGAGGGTGGAATAAACCTTTGATTGTTACTAAACAACAGCAAAAAGCAGGAAGGCCTCCAGACTCCTGCAGCCCTGGGCCCACACGGCCTCCAAGGATAGAGAGCTGGGCACAGCTACCGTTTCAGCCGGCAGCACCCAAATTACTCCTGTTCTCAGCCCAGAATGAAAACTCAAAGGCCACCAAGGAACAAAAACAAGGTCACCAGCCTTGTCTCACCTCTAAGATGTCTGTCTTTCTACCTGGTATCTTTGGGCATGGTCTTGAGCATCTTTGTATTAATTAACATCAGGAATTTGTAATAAATGGGAAATGTCGCAAAGCTATGTGTCCCATGGTGTTGTAGCAAAGTAAGAAAAGCTTTGGGGATCACAAGTTTGTCTACCTGAAGCCCAGTGTCAGGTCTGTCTGGGAAGACTTAAAGTAGTCACGGTTCTACCTTCTTTCTGCTTTTGCAGAACTGTATCCTGCCCTCCACACACGCATGCACACACTCACGCACACACACACACACACATGTATACACACACATGCACACACTCAAATACACAAACACACACACAATTCACACATGCACATATTGGCACACACAAATACACACACATACTTGACTTGCTTCTTTGACTTTTTCCTCTTCCTTTTTGAATAAACTTTATTATACAAAAAAATTCAAGAAACCTATTTAAGAGTTTTTATTGTCAATTGTCTAGGCTCCATATGCAAACCTTAGAAACACTAAATAAGGCAAATTAAAAGGTCAAGGCCTGTTTGAGCTGTACAGTGAGTTCAAGACAAGCCTAGACAGCATCGTGAGACCTAGTCTCAAGGCAGAAGTAAAAAAAAGTCAATGAGCTGGCTCGGTGCATAAAATGCTTGCCACTGAGCTGATGACACAAACTTGAACCTAAGAACCAACATGAAAAAAAATCTCAGGAACCTTTGGAAACTTCCTTCAAATCAGAGCCAGGGAATGACTGAGAACTGTCACGCATGGTCACATTATTCACTTGCTCATGCATTCATTCAACAACTTTTTAAGCATGTCAACCAGCCTGGACATGGTGATACATGCCTGTAATGCCAGCACTCAGACAGAGACGGGAGGATTGCAGAAAGCTCAGTGCCAGCCTGGTCTCCTAGGGAGTTCCAGGACAGTCTGGACTGCGAGCTTTTGTGGCCCCATCTCAAAAAATTAAAAGTCAGCCTGCCATCAAAGACCTGTGATCCTGGCTACTCAGGATGCAGAGGCAGAAGAGCTACAACATCAAGGCCTTCCTGGGCTACAGAATGAATTCAGGGACAGCTTGTACAACTTAGGGAACCCTATTTTGAAATAAAATGTACCAAGTGAGCTGGAGAAATATAGTGGTAGAGTGTTTGCCTAACATGCATAAGACCCTGGTTTCAATCTTCAGTACTGAGGGGGAAAAAAATGTATAAGCCCAGTCCAGCCTCAGAGACACAGCAATAAACAAGCTGACTCTGGAGGGGGGGTGGGGCATCTTAAAAAAGAGGGAGAAGAGAAGGTGGGCTAAGGAAAGAAAGTCTCCTTTTTTAAAGATTTTGATGTGTGTATGTGTGTGCACATGCCCCACATGGGTTCAGGTGCCCAAGGAGGCCAGAAGAGGGCATTAGAGACCCTGAAGCTGGAGTTAGAGGCAGTTGTGAGACACTGAATTTCTGGAAACAGAACTCAGGTCCTCTGGAAGAGCCACCAGGACTCTTAAATACCAGCCCACCTCTCCAGTTCATCAAGTTCCAGCTGTGGGAGTAGCCATGCCTACGCTCCCTTGTCCCAGTATGACCGTCTGATTTAGTTTCATTTCATTGAATTTCACATTAGCAAAGACCAAATTTTCTCTTCTTGAGCCAGGCCCTTGAGAACACTGGCAAGAAAATAAAGTAGACCATCTCCCTGCCATGTATTTCTCATCTTCTAACCTTATTCCTGTCTTTCACCTCCTACTCAGTAAAGAGCTAGAAACAGGGGGGTATAAATGAACTCCATAAGCCCAGTCGGATATATGTAGCTAAACTGTAGGGTAGTCACTTCAATTTTTAGCTTCCTGAGGTTTGCTGTTGTTGTTGTTGTTTTTACGGTTTCGTTTGCTTTTGGAGGAACCTCCACATTGCTTTCCATAGGGACTGCGTTAACTCGCCTTGGCTCAACGATGCGCAGTCGCTTCACATCCTTGCCAGAGTTTGTTATCATCCATCTTGATGGCGTGCCCCTTGCTGGTAGGAGGTGATATCTTGCTGTGGTTTTAATTTGCATTCCCCTGATGATCAGCGATGCTGAGCATGCTAATTAGCTTGATATAATCATGCCGCAGTGTAAAGCGTATATTAAAACCTCTATAAATATGCAACTATTGCCAGCTAAAAATGAAAAATTCTTGGCTAGGTGTGGTGGAACATGACTGCAATCCCAGGACTAGTGGGATGGAGATGGTGAACTTGAGGCCAGTCTGCACTACACAGCAAAATCCAAAATAAGTGCATTTTATTTTCATTTGTTTTTATTATTTTGGGGGGGTGTATAGATGTTTTACCTACATATATGTCTGTGAACCACATGCCTGTCTGATACTCACAGAGGCCAGAAAATGTCACTATGTGGGTGCTAGAAACCAGACTCTGGTCCTCTGGAGGAGCAGCCAGTGCCCTTAATTGCAAAGCTATCTCTCCAGCCCCATTAACAACCATTCCTAAAAATAACTTTGAACCCATATATATGCATGCATGTACACACACACACACACACACACACACACATCTGTTACACAAAGCCAAAGCTAGTGAGACTTCACTGAAAGAGCCAGAGCATTTTCAAGGATGAGTTAAGGGCTCCAGGCTGTGGCAGAGGCTATGAACTCATCTGCTTCTGAATCGCCATTTTATCCCGAAAATCTTACTCTAAAGGATGCCCAGATCTATGCCTTCTTATCTCCTCCTCCTCGTCTTCGGAGAGGGTGACTCATACTGAAAAGATCGACTTTTGCAAAGCTCAGTGAGCTCTCCAGAGCTCTGGGCCCCACACCAGCCCCTGCTAACCTCCCTCTTCTCTGTCCCAGGTGGGAGAGGCTGTCTTGGAGAATGCACGACTTATGCTACAGATGGAGACGCTGCAAGCTGGTGCCGATGACTTTAAAGAGAGGTAAGAGCAAGGGGCCCTCGCTGCCCACCCCCACTGCAGACCATTGCAGATAACGCTGCCCCAGAGGGGACACCAGTCCCTTCCACCACAGTACAAAGGTGGCCTGAGACAGCAGAAGCTCTAGAAGAACCCAGAGTCCCAAAATAATCAGGACCTAGGGGCTCAAAGACTCTGCCCAGTGTCACTTGCTTTAGAAAAGGGTCTTTTTAAAGAAAGATTATTTATTGTTAGTGGTGTATGTGGGGTGTGTGTGTGTGTGTGTGTGTGTGTGTGTGTGTGTGTGCGTGTGTGTGTGTACATCTGCCCTGGCACACTTGTGGAAGTCAGAATACAACATGTGAGAGTTGACTCTCTCCTTCCGCCATGAACTTTCCAGGGACTAAATTTAGGTAGCCAGATTTGGCAGCAAGCATCTTCACATACTGAGCCATCTTCCCAACCCTTTTTTGATTTGGTTTGGTTCCTTTAGTTTCTGTTTTGTTTTGTTTTGTTTTGTTTTGTTGATGTTTAAGATGATGAACTCACTATATAGCTAATGATGACCTTGAACTATTGATCCTTCTACCTCCAGCTTCCAAGTGTCATGACTATAGGCATGATCTCACCACACTTGGTTTGAGATGGGATTTCACTCTGCTGAGCAGGACAGAACACTCACCCTCACCCTTGCCCTGCATACTTTGTAAGATTACCAAAGTAGTGAATGACTTTGGGTATTTCCAGGATCAAACTCTCCTTTTTGTTTGTTTGTTTGTTTTTCAAGACAGGGTTTCTCTGCAGCTCTGGAGTCTGTCCTGGAACTAGTTCTTGTAGACCTGGCTGGCTTCAAACTCACAGAGATCTGCCTGCCTCTGAGACGTTTCTCTGTAGCTTTGGAGCCTGTCCTTGAACTAGCTCTTGTAGACCAGGCTGGCCTCGAACTCACAGAGATCCCCCTGCCTCTGCCTCCCGAGTGCTGGGACTAAAGGAGTGCGCCACCACTACCTTTTTAGAGGATTAGAGGCTTAAGCTTTTATATGAAGAAATAAATAATGATCAGAGCTTCCCAGGAATGAACCGTTGGCCTTGAGAGAGGATGAGTTCCCCAGCACTTGGAACATACAAGTAGAGGCTCCAACAAAGTCGCCTGTCCCAAATGTCTTCAAAGGACTGTCTCTGGGAATCCTGAATATTAAAATCCATTACAGGGGTTGGAGATACAGTTCAGGGGACTGTGCTTGCTGGGCGTGCTCAATCCCTAGTACCCTACCCCACCACCACCGCACATATCTTTAAGTGAAGACTGTATAACTCTAAACCTGAAGGCACTTCCTGGAATAGAAATATGGGGTTTTACCCCGCTATGATTGTACAGAGGTAAGCCAGGAAATTCAGTTGAATGATGCAACCATGGTAAGTGGAAAGGGCACCAGGGGAAATCAGCAAAGACATCAGGTGGTGTTTAGAAGGAAAGCCTGAGGATTGAAACTCAACATGGACAGTTTTGATATAAGCGGGTCCACACACACATACTCATTACTTTAAAAGCTTTTTGCTTTTTGTTGCTTTCTTTGTTTGTTTGGTTGATTGTGTTTGGTTGTAACGTGGGTGTTCAACTCAGACCTCACAAGCAAGGAAAGTGTTCTACTATTGATCTCTCTATCATTTAAATCTCTGGACAGATAAATCCACGCTTCTTCCTTTCCTGGAAGAGAGTTGGGCCAAGGCAGAACCATGTTGCTACACAACGTTATGGGCGGAGCTGGGTGGCAGCGCCCCTTGTAGGTTAAGTGAAGTATGGACTCTGATAGGTGGCATCCTCTCCCTCTCTCCTTGCCATGGTTCCTCCTTTACACCACCTTCTTGAGTTTGCCGCCACTGTCAAGAACTGCAGTGTATCGTTCATTTCTCAATCCCCAGCCTGATACTTAGCAGGTCCTCAACGGTGGTAAACGATCCTTGGAGGAAGAGGACCGTTCAGAATAGTGACAACGACGTGGCATTCATTGTCTTTCTGTGATGAAAACTCCCCAGAGTACCAGGCTCCAAAGGCCTTACGAAGCTGTGTTCTCAGAAGCTGACCGCTAATGTGTTCTTACTCAGCAACAGTGCCCCCCAAAGCTCCTAGAACACTAGCTTTCAGCATTCGCTGCCTATCACACGGGTGGGCCCTTGGGTAATATCCACAAGCCGGTTTGTTTCCCCTCTAGAGGCTACCCAGCCATGCTGATTAAGTCCCTTTGTCCTACAGATATGAAAATGAGCAGCCGTTCCGGAAGGCAGCGGAAGAGGAAATAAGCTCCCTGTACAAAGTCATTGATGAAGCTAATTTGACAAAGACGGATCTGGAGCATCAAATAGAAAACCTGAAAGAAGAACTGAGCTTTCTGACAAGGAGCTATGAAGAGGTAGGTGGGGCTGGGGGGTGCTAGGCTGTCCCCTCATAAAGAAAGAACCTGTGAGGTTGTAACCCCCCAACACAGGTGCTGGGGACTCTTCATTGCTCACCCAGGCCTGTAGGGAAAAGCTAGTAAAGGACTTTTAAGGCTAGGTTAAGGTCTTTGTCATCGGTCAGATCACCCCCTATAAAAGTCTCAAAGTCAAATGTCTTCAAGTACCAGGGTGCTCATAAGTGGAAGTGACAGTCGTCAGCCGAAGTGGCTGTTAGAACTGCGTGGTCCTGGGAGGAGGGTCTCCCTAAAGTGTTCTGTTTCCGATACTTTTTCCAACACTGCATGAACAGGCGAAACTGAATAATGCTCAGGATAGACCCACACTGTAGTTCCCACACACTCATTAACAAAAGAAGGCTGTATCTTTAAGGGACAGGACCAGAGGGCACCTCCAGCGGGGATGTGGTCTCATTACCTGCAGGAAACGCTAAGCTACCGTGCACACCCCGCTCTCTGACTCATGGTCCAGGTTGCTTCAAGCTGAGCATCATACCTCACTGAACCATGGGCACACTGGGAAGCTCCTCCTGTGCCCAGCCTGAAGCAGACAGTGACTATCAACCCACTCCTTCCTGCTCCTGGATCAGTTCCTGAAGACCATGCTCCAGCAGTAACCACTTAGGTGTCGGCTTTAATTTCCTTTAGTGTATCCTGACTTTGTACCAAACCCCCATTTTCTAGAGTTACTCACTATATGTTACTATACTATATACTTACTTTTGATTATGTGTTTATTTAGTTTTTTGCTTTGGGGATGGACTTGCAAAGACCTAAGAGATATGGCCTTGAAAAAAAAATGATACCTACACCTAGAAAATCTGAGACTTTGCCTTCTCTGTGATGCCCATGCATGGTGTAAAATAAATAAA